GAAATGTGGTTGTAGGAAATTTTAAGGAACTGTCACGTCATTTTTACCTGAAATCGCGGAATTTTTCCGCTGCGTTCTGTAATTTTTACCTGAATCTTGTCGTAATTTTTCACAGGAAAAATGACGATACCGTTAATTAAATTTTCCGAGTCGATTCCGTAGTCGGTGAGCGTAGTGTGAGTTCCGGAATTTTTACTGAACATTTTTATCCGTGTGTCGAATTACGATGGGATAGAGAATTGAAGGGGCTTTATTTGTCAGTGCATCAGTGGATTCATAATCAATTTCGATAATTACAAGGTTTAATTTTTAGAATAAATGAAACGGAAGTGCAAGAAATATGTTTGTTAATTCAAAACATAAAATTTTTATTATTTGAGGGCTTAACGAGATTGAAGAACTTGAGTTGTATGTTTGAAAAGTTGATATTTTCAAAGACTGGAAAGTATGAAATTTCAGGTATATTTTAAAATTCTCTATTCATTCTTAACCCAACAGAATTAATCTTTCACAATAATTTTAAGAGTTCAAACTATCATTGAAAAATCGACGAAAAACTTAAATTCCGTTGAATTTCCAAAAAGAATAATAAATTCCATGAGCGCTTTGATCGCAATTTTAATTTAAAAAATTAATTCATTCACCTTAAAAAAGATTGGAAAGTATGAAATGTCAGGTATATTTAAAAATTCTCTATTCATTCTTAACCCAACAGAATTAATCTTTCACAATAATTTTAAGAGTTCAAACTGTCATTGAAAAATCGACGAAAAACCTAAATTTCATTGAATTTCCAAAACGATTCGATTTCAATGACTCGATTTCAATTAAAATTCACAAAATTGAAAAAGAATTCAGATTTGTTTCTCAATTTCAAATGATTTCCAACAGCGTCTAAAAATCGAATGAAAAAAATGACGTGAGAATCCTAGAATTAATTTTCCCATCACAATTTTACTATGACGCTCCTCGCATTGTGAGAATGAAGAGAAATCGTGCACGATTCCCTAGACCCCCCGAAAACCGACTGAATTCACTAGGAGCCACGGTCGATACGTGGACACAATGGAGGGTGTGGCGTTCGAGGATGAAAGCCTTCACCTCGCGTAGCTCCCTCGATGCCATTGGTCCCCAGGTTGAAGTGTTGAGCATGGCGGTGGGCTCACCTCCCACCTATTCTCACCCAACTGACCATCAAATCCACGAGATCCCTCATCAAAACGCCACCGCACTCATCAAGCCCATCTCTCACTTTCCCATTGAATTGTGCCCCGCGCACAGTTGACAAGTTAACGCCACTGATGGATTTGTTGGCCTCCTCACAGCAAAATGATTCATAAAACGCGGAGGATGAGGGGAGTTGATAGATACAAGGAGGAACTCGGTCGGCTTTAATGGATACACGTGTTGTCGAGATTATTTCGGTTAAAAATGGGTGGATTAAGGCACGAGACGCGCGACGCGATGACGACCGGGAAGATTGATGAGACGTGTTTACCATTACTAACTGAGTTGAGCATACTCCGTGACCCTTTCACACTAATGGGACCGTGAAATTCATTATTCAGGGCCTGACAAATTGACGGAATTCCTGTGTCAATCAAGAGATGTTCGGAATATTGTTTGCAATTCGAAAGCAATTTTTAGCCCTGGATATTACCCTTGAATCCATTTCAAGAAATTTCATTACTGAATTGAAATTATTAATAATTTATATGAATTAATATAAATTATTACTATGTAAATTTCAGGTAAATGTAATCCTGAATTGACAATTAGTTGAAATTCCACCGTAATTTCGCGCTGGATATTCGTGTCTTATTGGAAAATTGAAGAGAGTCGGAGAATTCTCTTCCCACTGCTCAAACATTTGAAATTCCATTGAAGTTTTATTGAAATAGGAAATTCTATAATTTTTCCCCGAACTGGAATTTCATGAAAATTACAAGATTCTTCATTTTTGTCTTTTAGATGGCTAGAATTTAGGGGTCAATTTTCGTAGGAATTTTTCTTCGTGTGACTTGAAAGTTGAAAAAACGAAGTTGAAAAAAATATTGAAAAAAAAATATATATATACAATTAACATCTTCAGAGAAACAAATTTTTACACTTTTGAATGCAATTTAATGCAATTCATTTTCCAAAGAATGAGAATTCTTCTGTTACGAATTAAGAACAATGTTCTAAATTCAGAAAATATGTTATCACTGCGATAAATTTGTCAACTCGAGCTGTCGAGTCCTCCCCCTGCCTCCCTAATAATTCCTCAATCATCTCCAAAGCAGCCTAAACCCCTCGAAATTCCAAACCACAACTTTAAAAAAATCATTCCAAGATATTGGTCGGTTTTGTTAAGCCACAAAACTAGCCTCTTGAGGCTTTCGCGCCCCGAATGAAGAAACCGAGGTTATTCCTGGTTGAACAAACACTGGAATGGGTCGCGTGCGCCTCCCACATATTTATAGATTTTATCTCTTTGACTTGCCACGTACGCACTGGCGCATTTTCGTCCTGTCCGCCACCTTTTTTTACACTCCCTCCCCCCCC